TTTTAGTGCATACAATGGAAAAAATGCACTCATTTCTTGTTTGTGGACAGGATTTTTTTTATTTATTATGTAACCAGACAGCATTTTGTAAAATGTCTACATTCTTGTATCTTTAAGCTTTATGAATACATTGTCACTAAGAGTAATTTTATGAACAAATTATTTATTTTTAAAATATCCTCACCATCCTGAAATTAGTAGCATAAATTATAAATGAGAAAACACAAACACTTTATATTCTATGTTGAATCACAATGTTTTGAGTCATCTTTATATTCTTATGATCTCTACTCAATTTATATCAATTTCAGACATTTAGTTTACTTAGTGTCAGTGTACTTTATAAACATTGTAATCTGGTTATAATGTGGTCTTTGCTGTTTGCTCTCAATACTAAGACTTTCCTCCAATTATGAAGATAAAATACTAGTATTGCCAGCAGTAACATTGTACTCGTTTTAGTTTTAAATCGTATGAGCTAGCTCTGAAATTAAAAAATAATAATAGTAAGTGATTTTTTTTTTTTTTTGGCAATTAAGTCATTTCATTGTAGACTAATTTAAAAAAAAAATTCAATTCACTGTTTCCCATACCGAAAACTATTTATTACTATACTATTGGGTGTATTATCTTTTCTAGAACCTTACCACTACTACCTGTCCTTTGAACCAGCGTTTTTGTTACATGAGTAATGTTCAGAAAAAATAGACATATTGCAGGTCATTGTCGGTCCATATCCATAGTTCATTTATTTAGAAAACATATTTACCAGCAACATTTTTCTATTGTGTATAGCTCCCTCACAAGTCAATGGTTGAGCATACTTTTGTTTTTACATGTAAGAGAATTTTGTAATTTCCGTACGCATCGCGCGTTCATTTGAAAATGCCACTTTTTAAATAATAAATTATAAATGTTTAAATGAAATGTATCATTGTCGTTATTTGTGGTGATTAACTTCTAAATCACTCGTGATTTATAGAATACAAGAACATTTTTCGAAGTCTGGTTGCATTGATATTTGAATATTCTTGTGATATATTTTAGTCATTATTTTGCTCGGCTGGTTTTTACTCTTTCTGAAAATTTTAAGAAATCCTAGTTCTACAAAATTATGTGTGACGAATGATAAATTCACATTTGTCGTAAGTAATCATGGAAAATCAGTGTATATTAAACAGTTTTGTTTTATGAATCAATTTTAATTCCCCTCAAAGTGAAAGCAACCATCTCCAACAAATAGCTATTTTATTTTATTTTGCGCCAGGGCTCTGAAAAGGGGTATCCTAGCACCTACAGCTGAAATAATTTTTTGGAAGATCGACAAAAGCATTAAAACAAGCTATAATAACAAATATGGTTACATGATTCGAACCAACCGTGAAAGGGGCTATCCATTTTCGTATTTTAGTTCAAGCTGTTTCAGTAGGAGGTAATGGCCATGATCGCCCGGGTAGCCGAAGGATGACTTGTCGGAGTTTTTGAGGTTTCCCACGAATTGTCGCTTTTGTTGCTGACTGACAGTAATAGATTTATCGATTGGAGCTCTTGGCCAGACGTGATAAATTGTTTTATTGCCGATCAACTCGATTATATAACAATGACCTCAGCATAAGGACAATATAATTCATATTGTGTACAATTATATAACCTTATATTAGTATAATTAATTAAAGAGATTTGTTCGAAAGTTTTCAAGAACAAGTGCAACAATAATTGTAAGTTATTATTTTTTTTTTTTTTTTTGGAGGGTTGAGAAAAGAAAATTAAACTTTGCTGTGACGTGCACATAAACTTTGCTCATTTTTACCCTACAGTTAATTTATAAATAGAATTACTGATGGAAAATAAAATAAACTTTGCTGTGCCGTGGACGTAAACTTTGATCATTTTTACCCTCAATTAATTTATTTATAAATAGAATTAGCGATGGAAAATCGGAAAAAAATGAGAAATAATTAGTACTGGTCGATTTATTTGGATATTCAGCACTCAAGTTTTGCCGCCACGATAACACCTACATTCAACACTAATTTGAGAGCAGGAAATCTCATTCCGGGTATTAACTTAACACGAAAATGCCACTGACTTTACATTAATGGGATTGAATTCAAATTCGTGCACACTTCTTGTTAGCGCTAATGGTTCTTTTGACAGAATACGCTACCGTACATCCCCCGTTGTGGCTTCCGGGTATTTTGCATTTTGATAATATGCGTAATTTAGTAGTACACAGTTCGTAGCTAAACGATGCCGTTTATGTTACGTTTTTTTTTGTCGAAATATTACCTCATTGTATGATAATGTACATTTAATAAGTTGCAATAAAAATAGCCGCGTGTGCAAGGTTTTGTTCTTGAAAAGGTTTAAAATTTGCATTTCGATCCTTACATACAAATTCCACGCTATGGTCGGTGTCATTTGTTATGAAGCCCTGTGTTTGCTCGCTCAGCCCCCGTAACCATAGCGGCTTTGTAAACCAGCGCATTATTCATTAGTGAGCCAGTAGCGTCGAACCCATTCCGATCACGAGTATTGATTATACCAAGGTGTAAAAAACCCACGACTCACAGCTGTGGAGAACCACCATATTTATACACTTCGTCGCGTCTGTGCCCGACGGCGTGGATAACCGGGGACAGGGATCCGTCTTATTTGGCCGTGTACTGCTATAATACAGCGAACGACGACAGAGCCGAGCTGTCGTCTTCAACTGATTGTTCTTGAACAGTTGGCGAACAATAACATTCCCTACCTATGAGTTCGACATTGAAGATGCCCCGTCCTCCACAAGGCAATACCTTTCCAACTGGGAATAAACTGCTTCAGAAAAGATGGGACCAGCGAGCGTACCGTATGCACGTACAAAAGGTGAGATAGAATATATAAACTAACGTCAAGTTTATTTACAACCTTTCACAGTAAACTTCATTACGCTGCCTTTCATACAAGAAGACTCGATGATTTGTATATTCCTGCTGCTGCATTAATAATAATTGGCATGTACTCCCGATATATATCACTGTGATCAGTTTAAATACGTATTTTGGCCCATTTTCAAATTTAAAAGCCGGGGACGCAATGAGATTAAGGAGTTATCGTCGAAGACTACGAAATTCATACTAAATTTAAATGATAAACAATATGACAGTGCGCTAGTGTCCTGTCGAGGCTACGACCTGATCTTTGATCTGAGTGGACGTACAGGTCAGGACGGCACCTTTTTGATTAAAGTAAAATTTATATTTATATTAATAATTTATTTCCATTATGATATACTATTTTATGTATATATTCACTTTTGATATTATTTTCTACATGTGCACATTATTTTCTTCTATTAACCAACAAGTTTGTAGTAAACAAACAAATGACAAGTTGTGGGTAAAGATGGTAAGAAATTGAGAGTAGAAACAAACAAGTTTCTATGAATATTTGTAGGAAATTCTAGTGCCAAGTCATTGTTTATTTTTCATTTCAACAACTATGCAAATAGAAAAAAACAGTGGAACTATCGTATTTCTTAGTCTCAAGAGAAAGGTTAAATAGGGTCAGAAAAGAACACATAGTCATTCAAAGAAAGAAACAATATCCCACGTCTGAGAAAATATATAGACAGCAAAATAAACATAAACAATTTCGCCGAGAAAGCGAAACTGTCTACACTTACAAATGAGATTCATTTCATCTTAAATAATTCATTTCTGGTGAAACCAAGAAATGACAATAAAATTAGATGAAATGTTAACTTTTTCACCTTTATCGATGGTCATGATATAATAATTTGACAGTATTCATCGGGACATAACCTTG